TATATATATATATATATATATATATATATATATATTGCAAAAGTGATGGAGCAAGAATGCAAGATAGGCTGCTAAGATTGAATTAAGTTGTAACCAAATGGCATTCTTCGTGACGAGTGTGTGTATTCGTCATATATACTTAGGTAACAGGTTTTTATTCGGTAAAATATATACACGATGTTACGGTAGGAAGTTGTTTTAGACTGTTTCCGTGTAATAANGATCCCCGACAACTTGATCATCATCGTCATCGTCGTCATCGTCTTCTTCCTTGCTTGTCTCACACTTGACGCGAATATACGGGAATATATACGATAATACTTCGCGCACACGAGAAGGGGAAGGATCACAGGAACGATCGAATCCGAGATAAATAAAAGTTTGGACGTGTATTTCTTTTTTTTTTTTTTTTTTTTCGTTGAAAGTAGTATTTTTCATTGATCCGTTCATTGATTGGCAACGATCGATCTCAAGTTATCTCGAAATCGGTTGTTACATATCTTTTTTTATCCTCGTTTGTGAAATATAATATTCGATTTAGGTATTCGGTATGTAACGAAGTTCTTCGTTAGGAAGAGATATTATAATTAGTTTGGCACATTATGGACGGACTCTTGAAAGGAGTTATTGAGACGTGATAATATTTTTTGTAAATTATGGAAGGAAAGTTGGTAGAATTTGGTTACTTTCTCGTTCTATGGTACCGTATTTGTTTCCGAAGAGAGACCAGCAAGGTGTATTTAGAAATCGAATATTCAGGGTCAATGATATTCACAGGGAATCGTTTCGGTTGTAATAAGTCTTCTCACGGTGTGCTCTTAAAATTGTTCTGTAAATATACCATAAAATCGAGTTTTCCTTTATTTGCATGTACATCTCTTCTAGAAGAAGAGGTATCCAAATTTAATTACCGGTTCCGCGTAATCCATAAAATTACTTTCTATATTCTCCAAGAAGAATTTATTCTTGAAAATAGTAAAGTTCCAAATTCATTAAAAGTAACTGTGAAAACATCGTAAAATATTAAATAGGAAACACTTTGAAAAAAGAAAGAAAAAAAAAAAAAAAAAGAAACAATATTTTTCCCCTCCAACTGTTACTTGTTCTCTTTTTTTTTTTTTTTCCTCTTCTCGACACAATACAAAGAATTTAATTTTTTCACTCATTCAACATTTCGATCCGAGAAATATTTTTTCCGCGTTGCTTTTTCTCGAGCGAAAGGGGGAAGGATAACATCTATTTTTCGAACATTCAGGAATCCTGGAGGAGGAGGAGGAGGAGGAGGAGGAGGATCGAGCGATAACCGGCGCAATTTCCCTTTCAACAAGCCGTATAATACCTCGCATTATGTACAAGATACTTGAAATCTCACGCCTCCGCAACTTTCCTCGTCGCGACCTCCTATCGAGCGGAACGAACGTGCGTTCTCCATTCGCAAATCCTTCCTTCCCCCCTTCCTCCTCCCCCCTTCTTCTTCCACACCACTCGCCTACTAACTCGAAATTTCATCATCCACCTTTTTCCCCACCTTTTTCCCATTCTCGTAAATTTGTCTCGTCGATTCTCCTCTTCGTTCCCAAAATACTTTCTTCCTCGAAGTTTCGAAGTTCGAGAATTCCATTCCTTCC